CGCCGGGGTTGTAACGGAAAGGAGGGAGGGGGTCCAGCCCAGGTCCTCCAGAAGGACCCCCAGCACAGGCCGTGGGAGGGGGGAAGGGGAGAGGGGCTCGTGTGACGGCGGGCCGAGGGCGAAGAAGGGCCGGCGCCGGCGCCGGGCCGCCTGGCACCGGCGCCGCTCCTCGGCCTCGCTGGTGAAGCGCTCGGTGTAGGCGCCGTAGTAGCGGACGAGCCCGGGGTGCAGCCACGTCGTCCGGACGGCGACGTCCTGGACGAAGGCCGCGGCGGCCTCCGGCGCGTCCGCGAGCTCCTTTAGCACGACGGGCTCGCCGTGGAAGTAAAACCCGCGGCGGACCTCAAAGCGCCGGACCCGGCCCGGCTTCGCGGGGCGGCGGGCAGGGGAAGGGACCGGCTCCCAACCAGGATCCCCGACGGCGCGCTCGAGGCTCTCGTAGGGCACCTTCCACGCGCTCAGCCGATGACGGCGGTAAAGGGAGCTGATTCGCTCGACCTGGGCTTCGTCCTCGCCGGGGAAAGGCGCCGTCGCCGTGCGATCCTCGCCGCCTCCCGCGAAAACCGCAGTGACCATCGCGTCCTCCTCGTCGGGGATTGTACCGGAAGAACGGCTCGAACGCGATAACGAGAGCAGCAGTCGCGCATTCTGCTTTTCATCGACTTGCACCGCGCACCGGTCTTCGGCTTCCCAGTGCGCCGTGGAATGCAGGCTCCAGGCCTGCAGAATGCGTTTTCGAAGAGCCGTAAAAAAGCCATTATAGAGAAAAGAATACCAAAGAACCGCCTGCCAAACCGACTCGCACGACATAAGTTTGATAAGATAATCGCCAGAACGCGCAATATTCACCAGCTGTAGACTTGGGCGAGAATCCGGCAGTTTTTGAAGAAGCCTGTAAATCATATTCAGGCGGTCGGTGAAGATTTTAATTTGTTCTTGATTAATGCGCGAGTGAGGGGCCTCACGTTCGATATGCACGATAAGCTCACTAAAAAGAAGCTCGTCCTCTTGAGCCGGTCTAAGCATCGCCTTTATTTTCTTTCTATTCTTTTTTTTTATATAAATTATTTGAAACAGCAACTATTCTCTATTTTTTTCTACAAAAATGTATGTGAACAGAAATATACCTATTCATATTTTGCTATATATATATATATATATAGGGTACCTATACGTTGTGGAGTAGGACGGAGGCGAGATAAAGTGGTGAGATGTTTGATACTCTAATTATAATATTGCATCGATTTCCTTCAAAAAATCAGTTATCTCTTCTATTTAAACTTTCATTTTAGAAATAGATCCATATACGGTTAATTCGCATCAAAGCATCCTGTAAGGCGGCTGGTCTCAGCAAATGAGATCAGATTTATTCGGGGTGTTTTCTCCAACAATATACCAACTCTTTTTACACACGCATTACGAGGAACGATAGAAAATCAAGGCAAAAGGGCACACATCAACGAGGTCGTTAGCGTTCACTCGTTCCAATGAGTTTCTGTGTGGAAAGCTAGAAATACAGAAATAAAAGAAAATCCGTGAAAACAATTTCTGTATTTTTTGTATCTCAAGGATCCAGGTAGGTTATTTCAGACCATGCGAAAATCGAAGCGATAGACAAAAAATCCGAAGATCAACATATCTGGGAAAACACAACCCGAAAAGACTGATGATTCGACAACAATTTACACTATTAAAGGAAATAGCATAAACCCAAGGGGAACGGAGGTGGCTGAAGAGGGGGGGGGGGGCAGAGATCAATAAAAGTCTTCATAGGTGAATTCAATAGACCCCTCTTCGTTGTCCTTTCCGTCTTTTGTAGTAGTTGCTGTAGTTGGGGACTCCGCCGTATTTTGGGAAGCCCCTTTAGCATCATTTGTATTGCTATTCTCGTTGTCCATCAGAAATGCCGCTGAGGTTAATCCTCGGGGCTGGAAGGCCTCCATATTCGCTTTCGCTTTTCCTCCCGCACCATTGGTGAGGTGTTTGGCGAGGGTTGATGTCCGACGCTCCTCGCGCTCGATCTCGACGGCGGCCTGGATGAAGTGGATCACGGCAGAGAGATCGCGATCGCCCATTCCGGCCTCCGAGGCGGCCCCTAACATCCGCAGCGCGGAATCCATGACGGGAAACTTCTCCTCCTCCTCCTCCTCCCCCCCCCCTGCGGCGGCGCTCAAAGAGGAGTCGAGCAGGGAAAGATCCTCAAGGAGGTGGCCCACGGTGGCGCCGGAGGTGGGCGGAAGTTTGTCCGGATTTCGAACCAAGTCCTGCATCGTTGGGGCGTTTCGCCGGAGCATCGTGCTCGAGCCCCAGGACGCGTCGAGCACCTGCATGAGCCTCGCATGGTCCTCGATCCCGAGGCGATTCGCGATCGTCATCGCCTCGGCGGCGGCCGCGTTGTGGGAGGCGACGAGGGCCTGCGCGAGCAGCTTCGCCGCGCTCCCCGCCCCCGCCTCGCCCATGTGGTTGATGTTGTCCGCGTACATGCGGAAGATCGGCTGGAGGCGCTGAAAGGCCTCGGCGGGGCCGCCCACCATCAGCCCCAGCTGCCCGTTAAACACCGCGCGCGGGCTGCCGTCCATCGGGGCGTCCAAGAACGTCGCCCCGCGCCCCGCGGCGGCCGCCGCGCAGGCCCGGGAAAGCCCCACATCGACGGTCGTGTGGTCGACGATAATTTGCCCCGCCCGGGCGTTCGGGAGGAGGGCCTCGGCGTCCTCCAAGAGCACCCGCGCGGCCGCCCCGCGGTCGGCGAGGACGACCAAAATCACCTCCGCCCACTTCGTGAGGGTGTGGTAGCGGTGGTGCAGCCGCATCGCGCAGGTCGCGCCGTCGACGCCGAGGTCATCGCAAACCCGCCGGGCCTTGTTGAGCGAGCGGCTGTGGATCTGCAGGTAGAACGCCCCGCGGGCCTTAAAAGCGAGGTTGCGGAGGATCGGGATGCCCATATTCCCCATCCCGACCACCCCGACGTTGAGCGAGCCCCTCGTCGCCGTCATCCCCTCGCAAGCACCCAAAGCCCGTGTGTGGGGGTGGGGGAATGCGAAAGGGAGGGAAGCCGCGGTCCGATAACTAATCCTTTCCCCGTTACACCCTTCACCTCCCCCGATATATTTAAAAAAAAATAACAAAAAAAAGGGGAAAAATAAGGAAAAATCGAGGCCCAGGGGTCGTGAAAGAAATCCCCCATTCCCTTCGATTCAATGATCCCACTAATCCGTTTATACGGCGATGATGAACAAACACGTCATTAAGCACAATTCGCCTCCCTTTCCACGCTAAGAAGCTGGGATCTTACCACGAACCGCGACTGCTTTATCATTTTCTATCAGCACTACAGAAATTGTTCCATATCTCTATAGATAGGCATCCATAACTATATGTTACATATTATTTTTTAAAGTGATAACATTAAAAGCCCACAAAAATCACAGAAAACACCCAAATAAATGATGCGGCACTTCAATACTTCCTTTTACTTTTATTAATTAACTCCTAAGGCGAGAGGATGACGTTGTTAATTGGGATAAATATTAATTTAATAAAGAAGCCTAGGAATCCCATCAGCAGGAAGCCAATGAGCGTATAGAAGGCTGAACGTGTGAATTCGTTGTAATTGGGCTTCTGGCATTTACGAACCAACATACGACTGTTCTTGAAGAAAACCGTTATGGGGTGAATGATACTATCATCGATGTAATCCATTTTCGTTTACTTCCTTTGAGCTTTTATAATGTAATATAGTGTTATTGGAGCTTCCAGAGACCTTTTATTCTTTCTATGATTTCAACTTCTTGAAGTTAAGAAGAGGGGTGAGGGTGAGGGGGTGATGAAGCTATAGAACTGACGAAGTAAAATTATATCCTATCTTTATTTATCATCTCGTTGATTAGAGTTATGATCTTTTTAATTATCTACTTATTGAATACGGAGAACTTCAGATTCCAACGAAAACACAAGAAAATTGTAATTCGAAGTTAAGGAAAGTGTAACTAAGAACATATGTGAGGATGTAAATCTATATTTAGAACTGCGGTGTAAGTTTATCCCGGAAATCCATTTTTCTTTCCTTTACTTGTTTTTGCTTCCTCAGTTTACTATTGAAGTGCGAATGTATGGTTATGAATAAGTCTAAATAGTAAACGAGAAGCGTCCTGAAGTCACATTATCCTCTATTATGTTTTGTGGGATAAGTAACTTCCATATTTCTATAAATCACAGTAATACCTCTATGAGAAATGTATTGAACAGAAATGGACTTGCAATAATTAAGCAAAGAAGAAGGGCAGCACTTAAACTGTAAACAGCCAATCATGCCTTCAATTGCGCTTAATCCATCTCAATAATACCTAATGCAAACCCTTTTTTTTTTAAATTGTAAACAAGAGGCATATTACAAGAGGTCAATAAACCCGAACATGCCCCCTATTAATCCACAAGCACGAAAGCAAGCAAGAAGAAGACTCCGTTTCGATACCGAATACCGATTTTATTATTTACGCGCTTCGAAAAGTCCATGATTATCCCACCCCCAGCCTTCTGTTTGGCGGCGCTCAGTGCATCGGCATGAGGTCCCCGGCAAGGAAGCCCTCTTGTGAGTCGGTCGCCGGGTTCTCATCCTGCTGGAGGAGCGGCTCGATGCGGGCGTCGTGGTCCGGCATCGCGAAGAAGACGATGCTGCAGCGTCCCCGGCCTCTTTCGACGTTCCGGACGCGGTGTTGGGTGGCCTCGATGAGGCCGCCGGACCACTTCTCCAGGAAGACGCCCGCGTTAACGAGCAGCGCGTCCTCGAGGACGGGGACGGCGACGAAGCTCTCCTTGGCGTCGTCCCAGACCTCCAGGCCGCCCATGGAGTCCTGCGCGAGGAGGGTGATGGTGCTGAGGTCCTTGTGGGTGTCGAGCCGCGGGAGATCCCCCCCGCCGCCCTCGGGCTTTTCGTCCGTCCCGGCGACCAACGGCTGGGCGCGGGCGCCTTTCCGCCGCAGCACCTTCACCCCGCCCGGGTTCTGCGCGGATTGGGGGTTGCGAATCGCGACGCCCTGGCGGGTCCGCGAGGCGTGGCCGATCCGCGGGTAGTACTTCGCCTGCAGATCGCAGTCCCGCTTGGCGTGGAAGGGGGTGAAGTAGTCGAGGTCGTAGTCCCCCCTCGGGGGTCGACCCCCCCCGGTCGGGACCGAGGGCCGGATCCCCAGCCCGCAGCTGACGTGCCGCAGCACGTCCAGGCTGACCGCCGCGCAGAGCTCGTAGAAGGCCAGGAACATGTCCTTGAAGTCCGAGGTGAAGTGGGGGCTCAGGCCCCCCTCCGAGGGGCCCGACAGGGGCGGGG